GGTACTGGTTTGAATCAGGTATGTGTATACTAATAATTATTATTTATAACTTATCACTTGTGTATAGGACCTGTTGAGAGTAACAATGGAACACAAATAAAACAAGTTAATGATCAGTCACCAGATGAAAGTAAGGAACTATTAAAATTAATATACGTGTCATTTACTATTTTATTCACCTGTTGCTCCTGTTAGACAAGAAGCCTCATTTGAATGACCTTCTTAAGCTTTTTAAAAGTTATGCTGCTCAATACAAAGTCATTGGTGTTGCATTATCAGTTCCAGTTGATGACCTGTTGCCTATTCCAGGGACTGCTACTCATAACCTCATTTGTGTCTTTGAGAGATGGATAGCGTCTAATGAAGAAGTGTCCTGGAGGAAAGTACTTCAAGTTTGTGATGAGTATCCAGAGGAATTTAGAAAGGCAAAAGCTGAAGTGGAGGGATTCATTGATCAGCCATCAGATGAAAGTAAAGAATTATTGTTGTTGTTGTTGTTGTTATTGTTATTTTTTATCATAACGTACATGTATGTGTATACTAATAATTATTATTTATAATTTATCACTTGTGTATAGGACCTGTTGAGAGTGACAATGGAACACAAACAAAACAAGTTAATGATCAGTCATCAGATGAAAGTAAGAAACTATTCATTATTATTATTAAATCTATTTTTATATATATATTCATAGATATTTTGGACAAGGAGCCTAAATTAAAGGACCTCCATAGGCTCTTTGATAGTTCTGCTGCTCATTATTCAACTATTGGTACTGCACTTGATGTTGAAGTGGAGGACTTGTCTCATAGTGAAAAGGCAGTCTCTGATAAGCTACGGACAGTATTCAAGAGATGGATAGACTCCAATAAAGGAGTGACCTGGAGGAATGCTCTTCAAGTTTGTGAAGATTATCCTGATAAGTTTGGAAAAGTAAAAGCTTGCATTGAAAAGTTTCTCACATCAGATAGAGCCCGTGAGAATTATAAAACTAACAATAATTAATTAATTGACTGACATTACATGATACCATTACTACTGACTAGTATCAAGAGTATACATGATGATAGTGTGTGGTCAGCTTTTATAACTAGCTTTTTTATTATGCACAATTACACATACACTGAGTGAGGTCATCTTGACATTATTTTAATTTAATTTTGTCTATTGTTTTTGTGAAATAGGAAAACAAGATTTTTATTTGAAAATTTGAAATTGCCTTTGTCAGTTTAATTTAACATTATTTTTATGGTAGGAAGCCACACCTATATTAATACGCCCTTCTTTTTCATCAGTGATCCTATGAGTGTCAGCCTGTTCAAACAATAGAATGAGACACTACCTCATGTGGACCTGAATTTATTTGAAGCAAATAAAATAACAATAATGATAATGGTTACTCTACCATGCTGACCAAATCAGACCAATCAGATTACTACCTACATGTGCTTTTCCTCATACAGGGTCACTGGCCAAATTTTACCAAAATTTGAAAGGAGAGAATTCTCCACTTTTATAATAATTTCCTGATACATATACATGTTCTTACGTTGTGTAGAAAGTTCGAGCTGATTTTGATCAAATTTGGATTTTTTATGAATTTTTAAAATTGCCCTTGATCTAAAATAATGACAATTAAAGTACTATACAACCCACTGACCTCCATTCACCCTCAACTATACTCTACACTGGTGACATGTAATGTCCCAATTGATACAAAGGTAGTACATTATAGTGAGTGTTGTACGTTGCTATTATTAATTATTTTTAAAAGTATCATTATTAAGTAAAATTAATGTATTTTTAAATGTTAACAACAAGTGCTTGTTTAATGAGTTGTTTTTGTTGAGGGTTGAGTACTGCAGGGAAGGAGACATTGAACCTAATGATGAGGTCTCCTCTCTCATTAGGATCATCAACCAGGGGCATACCCTCTCCCACAACCCTTATCTCTCTACCAGGATATATCACATCAGTTATTGGTACTGTTATGAGTCTATTGTCCAGTGTCAGTAGTTCCACTGCTCCTCCTGTTAATGCCTATTATAATGGAATAGATTGATATTAGATAGGATATTATATGTACATGTACATAATAGTTTGAAATAATTGCACATTATTAGTTAATGTGTCATTAGTACACACACACAGGTCCCTAATCCATTGATGTATAATGATTATTGGTTTATGATGTACACTGTATCATGATGATTTATGCTACTATTATAATATTACAAGTACATGCATGTACATATCTTACTGTTACTAGACTAATGAGTGGTTGGTATATGAGGTTATTCCCTTCTCTATGATACTGGGAATGAGGTAAGTCCTTAATCACAAACACTATATCACCTAAAGGATGAATGAGGAGTATCTAATATACTGTACTGATGGGTTAGTCTGCAGATTACAAGGTATCCTGTTGGGTCCCTGGTCTCCTTCTTTAGTGAACCTGACCTTTGTACCCTCTCTCCAGCCTCTTCCTACGGTTATTGTTAGTATCTTCTCCCGTGTACTGGTAGTCTGTCCATCTTCATTCAATATCTATAGGTACAATATTAATGTAATTGAGTTTGATTTTTAAGAATAAAGTTTTGGTGAATAGTGCTAAATTTTTGGTGATTTGTGGGTTTTAATTTGTAATTGAGCATGACACCATGTACATAATGGTGGACTTTATTTTGGTGACTAGCTATCAAAAGTCAAATTTTACCTCCAAAATTACCAACTATATACAGTATAATAATTACCAACTATATACAGTATAATAATAATTACTTTTCGTGATATTTTCATCTTCTTAGTGCAGCCATTGTATATTTCTTCCAGTTTGAGTTGAAGGTCTCTTTCAATGGGTGGGTCCTGCTTGGGCTGTGCTCTTCCTTGAATCCCACCAAACGTAGCATGTCCATCAATATCAATGTTACTCTCAAGATCAGTGAAATCTAATAATGAAAGAGAAGAGAGAGAGAGAGAGAGAGAGAGAGAGGGAGAGAGAGAGACTGAAAGTAAAGGTTCATAGATGTAGGTGTTTATTGTGTTAAAACTAGTCCATAAAAGTATACAGTCAATAATCAGTTTGGTACTTTTCTTTGTGTGTGCGTGTGAACATGTTAATTACAGAACTAACTTGCAAATGGGTTGTCTCCTCCAAAGAATTTACGAAATACAGTGTCAACGTCTCCATGAAACGTGTAGCCATTGGATACGTCTATAATATGAAAGTATTTGATGATTATAGACCAGTGTGTGTCTGGAGGTGAGTATCAGTAATGTAATACCTGAGTCCCTTGATATCTGCCCTTAGCTTCACCTCAAGCAGATATCTCAGTCCTCAGGTATTACTTATACACACACACACCTCCAGACAGGCTGGTCACTACATGTACATGTACATGTACACGTACCTCCATTTGAGTCAGGGATTCCTCTCTTTAAACCTTCTTCACCAAACTTGTCATAAATTGCTTTCCAGTAGCCTATAATGACCAGTAGACCACATATTCAGTTTTGCCGGAATTTGATAAATTAGTACCATAATTCATCAACCCTCCCCAAATTATAAAGCGACATTTTATAAATAAATTATTCCTACCATTGTTCAGTACATCATAAGCTTCAGCAATCTCCTTTGACTTCTCCACAGCCCCTGGCCTGTTGTTGCAGTCAGGATGATACTTCAGTGCTAATGTACGATACCTGTGACCAATTATGAACTGAACTGCAATCATGTAAAGGAACTCACGCTTTCTGTATCTCAAAGCTCGAGGAACTCCTCGGTATCCCCAGCACAGCATAATAATCCTTACCCATAATCTCTCTCTTTGTCAAATACAAGACAAGCGTTGCTATGCCCGTTGCTAAGATAACCGGAGGTTTTACGGGAATACACGGTATTAATATACGGATAATACACGGAACTGACGCTAAGACGCCTTTATAAGGACTTGGGAGAGATGGTCTGATCTTTCAGTCACCATTTTTACTATTGAATGGCTACAGAAGACGCTAAGCATCGCTTCAGCAATTATGACTCTTTTGACCCGTTCTCTTACATCAAACGTAAATATGCGACCATGTCAGAACTGGTTGCCATCCCTCTCAGGGAGATGCACTCTGTTTTCACCAAAGACGCGAACGGTTGTCATCAAGAAGGCGGTGGGGGGTTGAAGATCCTTGACTATGGCTGTGGGCCGGTCCCTGTCTATCTCTCTAGCTTGCCAATGAGCTCTTCTGAGATTGTTTTCGCCGAGTATGGCGAGGCTAACCGCCATGCTCTTCAGATGTGGTTAGACAAGATACCGGGTTGCCCAGACTACACTCCCTTTTTTAAATATGCCGTTGAAAATCTTGAAGGTTTGACCGGAGAAGAGCCTGTCTTGAAGAAACAGGAACAGCTAAGGAAGCAAGTGAAAGCCGTTGTTTCGTGTGATGCTACCAAAGACCCTCCCATTGCCCCGGGATATGAGGGTCCTTATGATTACGTACTGTGCAGTCTGTGTCTAACCGTTACTGCCTCCAGCATTGAAGAATACAGTGCTAATCTTGGTCGTGTCACGTCTCTCCTTAAACCTGGCGGGAAGCTCTTTTTGAACAGCATTGAAGCAAGGGTTGGGGACTATTTCATGTACACGGCTGGTGAAGAGGAATTCTACGCTCTGAGTATGAACATGGCGAGTCTTGAGCAGGTTCTTCGAGAGAATGGCTACGGAGACGTGAGGATGATCCGTACTGATATTGACGAGACGCCAGGAGCATATCAATACGTCTCACCAGAGGTATCTGCCCTCATCTTTGTTGTTGCTACTAAACTATATTAATAATAATAATAATAATATTAATAATGAGCTTTCTTGTATGAGCATGTGCTATAATGTGAACATTGTGTGTGGTGTTAATTAATACTATAACCTTTTGTAGGCCCTTCTCTCTTTTATTCAGTTGTGTATTGGTTAATTGTTGTTATAGATTTAGATTTGAAGCAAAGGCACATCAGTCTGTTTGTTCCAGCAGCAGGCAGAGAGAGAGAAGAGAGAGAAAACACACAGCCATTATAATGAGAGAGTGCCAGTCTGTCTCCAACACATCACACAATGGCAACATGAATGATATTCACTTGACTGCCCCACTACCATTCAATCAATTGAAGAAATGTAAATGCACTATTGTTACTATTCTGTAGTGTTAACATTCATTTTACAGCAGCAGAGCAGTTCATGTACTGTATGTATGTTAGTCAGGAAAACCTTCACTGTGTAACACATACTGACCTATGCACTAATAATAATGATAATAGTCACTTTATACAGTTTTCTGATATTGTTCAGTATTTTGTCTGCTTGCTCACGTGATATTACGACGATTTTAATGCGATTTTCTGTCAAAATTAATACTATAATTCCAGCCTCTTATAATCAGCCTATATTGTTGTTATGCTCCCGGGCCTTTATTAAGGACACCATTGCAATACACTACCTGTCCTTAATGCAGTATAGTTATGCTATAATTAACTCAATTATGTGTCTACATTAAGACTTGAGTCTCCCATCATGATGTGTGTTTCAGTGTTTATGTCTCAATGTTTGTATAATGTAATCAGTTGGAAGCTATACCAGCCTCCAGTATGAGATAGGATGTGGTGACATGTTCATCATGATTGCTGGTATGTGTACTATTATTTACATCCTTTGAGGTAACTGTTCACTGGATCCAGTCCTCATAACATCCACTTGTACATGTATTCCGGGTTGGAGATTTGAACTATTATTCATGTAAAGGTAATTTAAAATAAACAGCCCGGTCTTATGACTATCCCATGAAGCAGTCGTTATCTGAAGGATATTATTTTCATAGCTTTTAGAAGGTGGGGATTTATTATCTGATAATCATAATCACAATTTTATCTGTAATAGTCTAAAATATTCACATGCACTTGACATGCTGACAGAATGTGCTGGATGCACCTTGAACCCACAAATTAAATACCATTGCACCCAGCTAGCCACCCACGCAGCATCACGTGGTCAGCTGGCCTGATGTTTGTTGTCAGTGCTGTCACTCTCATATCCACTCTCATCTCGTATCCTCCTAGCCTGTATGTCTTATGTCAACGAACTGTGTGTGACAGTTGTGATAGAAAGGGAGCTTTAGGAAGGTCACAGATACCACTGATTAGTCCAGCTCGAGACAAAACGTTGCCTGCTATAACAGAGTAAACTATAGGCCGTCGATAGTAGTAGATCTATACAGTGAATCATGGAGGCTAGTGAAGGATACGAGTCATTCGACTCTCTGGCTTACATAAAGAGGAAATACTCTCAAATGAACGAGTTGATTGCTGTACCTTTAAGAGAGATGCACCCGATATGGGAGTCTCTAGAGAAAGAAGGAAGAAAGGATCTCAAAGTACTAGACTTTGGCTGTGGCCCCATACCAATATACCTCTGTAGTGCCCCGCGGGCCGCCTCTGAGATTGTGTTTGCTGAATATGGTGCCGGTAACAGGGACATCTTAAAACTATGGTTAGATAGAGATGTCAGCTCACCAGATTATACCCCATTCTTTAAATACGTCGTACAAGATCTTGAAGGACTTTCAGACGACACTTCTGTCCTTGAACGACAGGATGACCTACGAAGATTAGTGAAAGCCATTGTACCGTGTGATTGTACCAAGGACCCTCCAATAGACCATGGTTTCAACGGACCCTATGACATCATCAACTGTAGTTTATGCTTAGCTGTAGCGTCTACCACTTTAGAAGAATATAGTCTTTATTTGGGTAGGCTCACGAGAATGCTTAGACTAGGCGGAAGGCTGTTTCTAAATAGTATTGAAGCTCGTGATGGAGCAAAGAGCTTTACCTACCCAACTGGTACTGACAATTCACAGTTCTTTAATTCGCTGAGTATGAATGAAGATTTGCTCACTTTTGTTTTGAATGAGAATGGCTGTAAAGCCGATAGAATATGTCACACTTATATCGACAGTACACCTGGGGCTCGTAATTATGTCTCTCCGGAAGCTTCTGCCATGATCTTCGTATCAGCGACCAAAGTTAAGGAGTGATTTCTTTGCTCTATAATTCAATTGTTAGTGACATTTATATTTATCTCTTTAATTGATTATTTATTCCAATTCATTTCTCATATTTATTGTTGATTTTTTTATATTTATTTTGCTTTCATTGTTACTTTCATTTCCTTTGTGTTGTGTATAATTAAAAATTTCTGTACAGACAATTACGGAAGTATCCTAATTCTAGGTTATTTTATCACGTGACTACACGTGTGTAGCTCTGTGTGATGCTAGTCCATAGAAAGTGGGTACTACTCGCTCCAGGATGTGTTGGTCTGTGTTCAAGATCCTTCTCTTCTAGCAGTGACAGACCCCCCAGGTCTACATGCTCTATCTATGGACGTCCTAAAAAGAACGGCAAGATAAATGATAATTTTTATAAAATTATAATATACATAATACCATATATATAGGTGCTAATTAAAGGGAGGGGGAATTTTGCATTTTGAGCATAGCATAGATATAATACACGGAACAGGATTAGAAACATGATCACGTGAGCGCATTATCCATTGAAACACTCCTAGTTATGCCGGGAACTGGTCCCGTAATGGAGATGAATGGAGATACTTTGTGGGACTCTCCAGACGATATCTGATAGTTTTGTAACTAAATATTTGCTTCTATGGTTACTTCTTAACCTCTTACAGTGCACTGTGGTGTTTGTTATGGACTGCGTTTAATAGTTTTAGAGTACTGACGCCATTGAAATATGGCCTTTGGTTTCGACATGCCGTAACTTTCTAAAACTTCTGTTTA